ACTGTGGGGGGACATTAGAGTGTAAGCTCCTCTGTACAGAGACTGATGTGACTGTGGGGGGACATTAGAGTGTAAGCTCCTCTGTACAGAGACTGATGTGATTGTGGGGGGACATTAGAGTGTAAGCTCCTCTGTACAGAGACTGATGTGACTGTGGGGGGGACATTAGAGTGTAAGCTCCTCTGTACAGGGACTGATGTGACTGGCTCAGTGTTCTCTATACAGCACTGCGGTATATGTCCGAGCTATTTAAACCAGGCATTCTGGTAGGTATGGTGCACTGCTCACCATGCTTGTGTTCAGGTTTCGCTCCACCCTGCAGAAGGTATGTGGTATGCTCTCCCCTTTGCTGGTGTTGATAATACAGATATCCATCACTCCCAGTGTGTTCAGTCCCAGGGACTCGGGGGCCCTCTTATAGGAGAGGAAGGTTTTGGGGTGTCCAGGCACTCCGGAGCTCAGGTTGGCGGAGTGGCTGTACGGCGTGGTTTCGATATACTTATATCCTGGCTTCAGAGTCTCCTTCCCCTCATAATAGACCCTGGAAGATGGGAGAGAAGAGAGGAGAGATGGATGACGGGAGAAGAGGACGGACATGCCAACATCCAAACAGCGCAGGCCGCCCGGCTCACCCCAGCTCCGATATGGGCATCTTGTCCCTTCCCCGGCGGTAGCAGAGGTACAGCTGCTGGTTAGTGAGGAGGCTGCTGCTGAGGTCGGCGCAGTGGCCCCCGGGGGTCCTCTCGATGCAGGTGTACCCCTGAGGGACATCCTCGCCCATGGAGCGGATGATCACGGCCACGTCGGTGACGGGTTCCGGTGGGCGCGACTGGTATGTGGTATGCTCTCCCCTTTGCTGGTGTTGATAATACAGATATCCATCACTCCCAGTGTGTTCAGTCCCAGGGACTCGGGGGCCCTCTTATAGGAGAGGAAGGTTTTGGGGTGTCCAGGCACTCCGGAGCTCAGGTTGGCGGAGTGGCTGTACGGCGTGGTTTCGATATACTTATATCCTGGCTTCAGAGTCTCCTTCCCCTCATAATAGACCCTGGAAGATGGGAGAGAAGAGAGGAGAGATGGATGACGGGAGAAGAGGACGGACATGCCAACATCCAAACAGCGCAGGCCGCCCGGCTCACCCCAGCTCCGATATGGGCATCTTGTCCCTTCCCCGGCGGTAGCAGAGGTACAGCTGCTGGTTAGTGAGGAGGCTGCTGCTGAGGTCGGCGCAGTGGCCCCCGGGGGTCCTCTCGATGCAGGTGTACCCCTGAGGGACATCCTCGCCCATGGAGCGGATGATCACGGCCACGTCGGTGACGGGTTCCGGTGGGCGCGACGGCCTCTGGCGGCTCTCATCCTCCAGCAGCTTCGACGTCGGCGTCAGGCCCGCCACTACAAAGTAATCCACCAGCTTCGGGGGCCCCTCCTCCATCATGGCAGCATGTTGTCGGTGCTGAAACAAGAAAATCGGCTCAGGAAAAGAATCCGGCACTTACCGAAAAGGGAACGCCGGCTCAAAAATATACATGTGGTGAAGCAAAAAAAACTAAGGAGAAAAGGGTCAAGTTAAACACCAGCAAGCCATTGGTTATTCTTATCTGCAGCCATGGAGCCGGAGCAGGCCACAAGAATCACTTGTGGATAAGGAGTTTCATCAACTTTTTCAATTTGCAATAGTTTTGACCAGAGAGGGCTGACAGCTTCTGCCTTGTTTTCCTGCTGCCTCTGTACAGCGCTGCGGTATATGTCAGAGCTATATACATGTATAATATTAGTGTGTGACTGTGGGGGGACATTAGAGTGTAAGCTCCTCTGTACAGAGACTGATGCGACTGTGGGGGGGACATAAGAATGTAAGCTCCTCTGTACAGAGACTGAAGTGACTGTGGGGGGACATTAGAGTGTAAGCTCCTCTGTACAGAGACTGATGCGACTGTGGGGGGGACATAAGAATGTAAGCTCCTCTGTACAGAGACTGAAGTGACTGTGGGGGGACATTAGAGTGTAAGCTCCTCTGTACAGAGACTGATGCGACTGTGGGGGGGACATAAGAATGTAAGCTCCTCTGTACAGAGACTGAAGTGACTGTGGGGGGACATTAGAGTGTAAGCTCCTCTGTACAGAGACTGATGCGACTGTGGGGGGGACATAAGAATGTAAGCTCCTCTGTACAGAGACTGAAGTGACTGTGGGGGGACATTAGAGTGTAAGCTCCTCTGTACAGAGACTGATGCGACTGTGGGGGGGACATAAGAATGTAAGCTCCTCTGTACAGAGACTGAAGTGACTGTGGGGGGACATTAGAGTGTAAGCTCCTCTGTACAGAGACTGATGTGACTGGCTCAGTGTTCTCCGTACAGCGCTGCGGTATATGTCATAGCTATATACATGTATAATAATAGTGTGTGACTGTGGGGGGACATTAGAGTGTTAGCTCCTCTGTACCGAGACTGATGTGACTGTGGG